ATAAATAAGTCGACCGGGAGTTTTATTTAATGAAACTTTATCCCACTCAAGTTCTGTGTTACAATCTGAGGGTTAATCTGAAGTTGGTACAAACAGAGACCTAAATCTAAAATCTAGGGTTGGTATAACTGAGATTAAAACTCAGAATCTAGGGTTGGTGCAACTGAAATCAAAATCCACAATCTAGGGTTGGTACAACTGAAATCAAAATCCTCAATCTAGGGTTGGTACAACTGAAATCAAAATCCACAATCTAGGGTTGGTACAACTGATCCAGCGTGAGTTGGCAACCCTGCTATGGAAAGTGGTTCTGGCGTTCCGTGATCTATCACCGTGGACCTTGAGGCTACGCTAGTTTACGTTCCGTGCTCGTGGCCAGAATGAAAAGAAAATGACCATTGACACAAGTGACAGATCACGTTTCGTCAGCGAATAGCGATAACAATCCAAAAATAATAATAATAATAATCGTAGAAATGAATTAATAATACTAATTAGCTAGTTTATGCTACAAATAGAAAAATTATGAAATTCTATAGTTCCCACGATTTATTGTACTTACTGCCCTTCCTTTCCAAGAAAAGTAAATTGTGGCTGGGCCTGAGTTCCCAGTTCTCCTACCTTTCGCCCTCCGTATAGCTATACTTCAGTTCACATACAAGGAAATGAAAGAAAAAGGAGTATATCAGGACTGTGAATAACCAAGTAATTGACAAATCTGACCTTCCTATCCTAGGCCAGGCTTTTATGAGATATACCAAGTTTCTAGGGACTGGTAAAGGAGTGTGGTGGATTCTAGATAACTGAAATATTTAACAGGGCCAAGACAAAAGTGGTCCCCGCTGAATCATGTGATATCTGAACGTGTGTACTAATGCTAAGCTTATCTGGGATTGGGTTTGATGTCCTCCTGCTTCCTTTCCAACACCAGGAACGCTAGCCTCGATTCCTAACAGGATAGTGGGTGCCCCAGGCTCCTTTCCTGTTCAGATGGTGCAACAAGCAAGCAGTGACTAAGCATGCAATTCTATGGTTATTAAGCTCAAATACTCAGCATCAGATATGTGGATGGTGTGTGATACTTGCCAGGGTGCAAGTAGAAGGCCTACAAAATTACCAAGCACAAGTCTACCAAGCGCAACAATAGTGGTGTGCAGATGATCATAGCAAAGCTGTGGAAGCAACACCCACCGTTAGTGGTGTGTGGCCTTCAAGGAATTCATTTGATCGAGTTCGGTAGGATCAGAACAATCTTTCGAACCTGTAATCCAACTAGGTTGACCGTCACATATAGCATCCAAAGACCAAAATGTAACGTAAATGGTTCTCCGAAAGTGATTCTACCTATTAAATCCGCTAACAGAATCGTTAGCGTTGCCTGCAATTTCTCAAAAGCAAAATGGCTACCAAAATCATATAAAAACCCCTTTCAATCCATCCATCGAAAGTATCCTGGCAACAATGGTTGTCACCATTGTCACCAACATCACAGAAGATACATTCAGCAGCATTGCCACCAGGTAGGATTCAAGGATACTAAAACTCCTGATGCCTCAGTAAATAGCAGAATAAGAAGTTTGGCCTGATAGGAAGTGAGTCTCTTGGAACAAGATGAAGCATGCACCATGGCCCATTAGCAGATCTGTGTACTTGGTGACGGTTCTCATAACCTCACATTTCTGTTTACCTGGAGGTTAATGTGTTGAGTGCAAGAACTGCCAGATGATCTATCCATGGTAAAATTATGATGCAATATTTATGAAGAGAATAAAGACCAGTGAGTAGTTCTATTTTGATTTTCCTCAAATATAGGTCTATATCTGTAAGGTATAGGAATTGGAGAACAACCCCGTAACAATGTTTTTTGTTCTAGAATCTCTGTAAAAATAATAATCTGCCTGTCGCAAACGTTCCAGAGCCTCTGCCAAAGTATTTGCTCCAGCTAATGTAGCAGAAACATTTGGAGGATAATGAATTGCTATGGTTGCTATGATTTCCTGGTCAGAAAATGGGGGATGCAGATATCTTGCCATAGCCACTTTATTAAAATGATTTTGAAAGGATCCCTCATTTTCATAATATCTGGAAGTTTCTAATTTTTTTTTGATGATAAGTTGTTTTCTTTGACCCCAAAATTGTAAAAGGAACCCATTTTTAAACTCCCCATGATTTTAAAATGTGTTGAGAATAGCGTTAGCCCAGGTTTTGGCTGAATTTTTCAACAAATTGTTCAGTTAACATTTTACTTTAGCAAAACTTATCGGTTGAAAATCGATATTTTGTAAAAATTCCATTGGATGTAGTTCATCTGAATCATTAAAAGATGGCAAAAATTTTGCAGCCTTCAACATATCTAAATTTCCTACATCCTGTATATTATTCTGTCCTACATTGATGTCATTCCTAACCTCAGATCTTATTGTAGAATGTGAATCACTAACATTATTTTTATTAATATTATCATTTTCAGGTGTGAAACGCATCAGGTTGAAAACTTGGTTGGCAATTCTGTCCACATCCTCCGGATGTAAAAATACATTATTTCTTGATGTAGATGGTGGGTGTATCGGTCCCATACCAGGAGGTGGGGGTGGAAAATTGAAATTTGGTGGACCAAATAGATCTTTTCGTAAGTTTTCCCCTCGAAATGTTGGAATTTGGCAGAAGGGCCTCCTGCTGCACCATCACTAGTACGTGAAGTCCTTTCTATGTTAGGTACATTTTTTGGCCTACCTTGATTACTGCCATAAATACCTCCCCATTTTACATTTGAGGTGTTCTGCTTATTATTTGCTTGAGATGGATTCCTCGCTGTGTTGGGCGTTCCCTGTTCCTGCTGTTCCACATTATTTCCAGGAAGGTTCACCGACTCTCTCCTAGATTCCATATTTCCCATAGACCGTAAAAAATAAGGGCTATCTACAACCATATTCTCTTTCTTCCAGGTGTTTTGGCCCCACGTTGGGCGCCAGATGAAATATTTCGATCACTTTTTGGGTTGAATTAGGGTTCGGTCCAAAACAATTACTGATGACGGGATTTTGAAAAATATGGTTTATTCATTTAGTGTTGGTGCTATTTCCGGCGATAATTATACAATGATATCTGAGATCGAATCTACAAGGGAGAAAAAATGTAGTTAGCCTATATCAAATCCCGAACATAAGTTTTCAGCTCGAATACGGTACAATGTATTATTATATGAATTACTCAAATTGTCACAATGAATAGTAAATTCTCTCACCTACAGACCAAGCTGCAAAATTGTCAATCCAATGCAATTTTTGCGTGACTTCCGAAAAGCTCTATAGGCACGAACCAGATACCTCGTCTATTTATCAGGCAATATGGAGAATAAATGAAGCATGGAAATGTCGAACTTCTTCAGAAAATAAATCGGTAGCTAAACGTTTTTTCATGGTTTTTTGTTATCCCAACGAAATAACAAGTAATTGCAACAAAAGGACATCGCAGCGCCATCTACCGGACAAAGGTACAACCGCGAGATGGAAAATAAAGGCACCTGTTAACGGCCTAACCCACAGGTTCCTCTATTGAGCTGGATTTACAGGTAGCAGAATATACAGAATGTATTCAGTATTATTTATTAATAAACATGCGAACATGGACGTCGCGGAAAACAAAATTAGAGAGAAAAGTACAACTCGAGACACTTTATTATCAGGCCTATAATAATGAAATAGGTTTCGCTACATCTCAATTCTACTACCAGAATATGATTCTTTGAACACCTCGACTCACATACAAGAAAGGTATTCTTGTTAGAATACTGTAAAACGAACCGTTTTCTAGAAAAGGGGTAATTTTTCATTTTGAGATAGAAAAAAAGTCACAATCCTGATTAGAACATTTTTTCTTTTTTTCAACTGCAGAATTACCTCCAGAAGTATACGAACGTTATTTTGCGATACCTTGTATGTATGTACTTAATCATACAATATAATTATTATTATTATTATTACCATTATTATTATTATTTCTCTCCCAAATTATTTTTATTTTGAGAAGGAATATTATTATTTCATTTTCGAAGCCTTCTCATTTAGTTCTAAATCCAATAGTTTTCAAAATGTCAACTTTCCAAAAACTCGGATGTTAATTTCAATTCACTTACAATCAAGTTAAATTCTCTCCAAAGCAAACTTGATTGAAAGCAATATTCGAGTTTTTGGTTGGATTTGAATGACCAACATGTACTTTTTGAAAATTATCATTTCGAAAACTATAGACTGATGATTCATTCATTAGCTGTTATATGACTGACTGGTTGTTGATTTGTATGATATGTATTCTGCTGAATTGAAGAAATCAGTCGGGTTGATGACTTGTCTAAAAAAATCATCATACCTTCAACTGTATTGAGAAATTTTTTCATTTATATAAAATGCCATCTTCGTTATTTCCTTAACAAAAAAGTTTTCATTATCCTAGATTCTTTGATGGGGTTTTCTCTCTTCGTTTTCATTGATGAAAATATAAGTGTTATCCAATGTATGTATTGAGGATAAAACAGGTATAGATAGTCAAAAAATGTCACTGTGTTGGAACAAGATTACTTAAGTAATATTGGATACTGAAGTCTATGCATACTAATGATCATGCAGTGACACCTTTGTGTGCACTATGAATATAAGTATTGAAATACTACTCATATATGTAGATGAAGATGGCGGCGAGTGGGTAGACAAGTGTCGGTCGTCCTCCGAAAATTCTATTTGTTATAACAACAGTACGCAGATACCTAACGAAATTTCATAACAGTAATGAACTACTAAGTATGCTCTATCGATTAGTGCAAGTGATTCTATATTCTGTACGAATTTGTAGCCATCATTTGATCAAATATTAGTGGATATATAATCTTCAAATGGAAGAAAGAAATCGCAAAAAGTGAAGTGCAAATTGAACAGAACAGCAGGTGTGCGCAAACGGGTGCGTGAACGGGACTATCAACTCTACGTGATATTCATCGATAAGTATCGAATTTATGATTGGGATTTTGAATCAGTAGCCACAATACACTGTAGTATTGCGCTGTACGCTCGTAAAGGTGATGAAGCAGAACTATAAATCGATCAGCGCGTCACAATCTAGTAGAGATCTACGATCCAACACAGGGGACTCAACAATGGTTGAAGCTCAAATAAAACAAATCATTCAACAGGTCTTCATTAATATTAATACCAAGCTAGACGAAAAATTTGATGAATTACAGTCGAGTCTGGTATCCGCCCAGAAACGTATTGAAAGCAACACAGACAAAATTCTCGAAATTGATCAAAGAATGGATAGTATGGAACAACACATTCGAAGATGTAATTTGAGAATTTATGGGATGGACAATCTCGGCAAAAATGATTCAGTGCATACAGTAACAGAATTTGTGAGGAATACAATGAAAATCAAAGATTTCACCACAAATGATATTGAATCTTGTTATAAACTACCAAGAAATGCGTGTTTTGTGAAGTTAGCTAACTATAAAACAAAACAAAGTGTTTACAACGCGAAAAAACTTCTCAAAGGTACTAAAATTATAATTAGGGAAGATCTCACACCTTTCCGGTTGAAAGCTGTGAATGCTGCCGCTTCTAAGTATGGTTCAAAGAACGTCTGGACTATAGATGGGAATATCAGGATAATCATCGACAAAAATATTGTGAAACCATCCATTCAAGATTTTCAACAACTCATCAAAAAAAAATCTGATAAAGATGAATAGCATCAGACCTATTAGATCTCGTAACTATATTGATATCAATTATTATTTTCCAATTAGTTTCAGTTAAGCATTCTCGTTTTCTCCCTTATATATGTGGAATATTTATAGGTGGTATGTATTTACATGAATATTCTTGAATCTCAATGTAAACAATAACATGCATATAATATGAATAAAAATAGAGCAGGTATATACACGAATAATATCTATATATATACATATATGTAGAAGGGTAGTCGTTGCTGACTAGTTAGGAATAAACTGGGGAATATTGGGGACTGCAGCAAAGTCAAAAGAGTACTCTTTAAAGTTGGTCCAAGCTTTCGAAAATCTTTATTTTCATCATCAGGGAGTCTGTAAAGTGATTATTCATGAGTATCATGTAGTTTAAGTGATGAGATCTTTGTGTACTTACAACTTTGTTGAGGATGGCTGACATGATGTTCATGTATAATTTCTTTATGTGTCTTGGTAACATAACATGAATAAGCCCAAAAGTCATCGATAAAAATACATTACATTGAATCACACGTTAAAACATTATAAAACTAGTTGAAAGTCACATCTTCCACCACATGGTTGGAATTGTTAGCAGATAAGGTTATTGCAAATGGTGCCGGGAAATGAGTTTTTTTGAAAAATGAATATGACTGACATATGACAGTGTGTGTGTGTGTCCCTAGTATATACATATATATATATATATTGGTCCAGACTGCATCCCACTAATATTTCCAAGAATATATATATATATATATATATATATATATGATGAAACTTAGTAGTGGGGAAGCAGCAAGTAAAAGTGAAACTCATGCAAGTTCGTCCAAGCTTTCGGAAAGTTATATTTCCATCATCAGGGCCAGACTACAAAATGTTATAACAATTATAAGCAAAGCTAGTTGACTAAGTGGTGCAGTACTTACAACTCATTGAGGTTGGTTACATTGATGTTACTAACAAGTGATGTATAAATAAAAAAAATGTTTGTATAACATATCTGGAACATGACAAATTCAAAAAATTAAAATATTAGGTCAATATCAAAAACGTTGTTGATTTAAAATCATGATGAAACTTTTCTTTTCACAACGTGTGTCAGAATAAAAATCTTTGGTTAGGAAAACTGAACCTTATTCTTCCAATTCACTGGTGACATGGAGCTTAAGTGTGATGACCTTGGTCTTATGGTACCTAGTGCTATTGTGTGTTAGTCAACAAGAGTATTGGAAGGAGAAAGTTTTTGAGCTACTAGTAAAACGGGTAATATTCTTGCAGGCAATATGTGCATCACATCAAGATTATTAAAAAAGTTGTTTATTGTTGGTTATGTTGAGCTGCTATTATTTAACACCGTATTAGGGTTATCAATTGATAAAAGATATGAATAAATTTCGCTAAGATGGTTAATGTCCGATCTTTTGTTGATACAATTTGGTTCTTGGGCAATGAAAGACATTTCCAAAAAAGTTCTTTTTTTGTGGTTACTTTCTGTAGCTAAAATTCTTGCTGATTGAAAATCCATTTTGTGATCAGAGGAATTAACATGGTCCGCCAAAGCACATCTTTCTGGATGAAGCCTACAGTCGCTCCTGTGGGATGTGATTCTGTTGGCTAATGATCTCTTTGATTGCCCGATGTATATTTTATCACAATCCTGACAGGGGATGCTGTACACCACATTCGTCTGTGCAGTAAGAGGTACTTTGTCTTTGACTTTGGTGTAAATTGATCTAATTGTTAAAACTGTTTTATTGGCAATTTTCAGGTTAGGATTTGGAAGAAAAATTCTTGTGAGTTTTGGAGTTAAATCTGATATGTACGGAAGTGAAGAAAAAATTGTATGTATTGGAGGAGTATCAGTAACCACAGTCTCATGCAATTGAATGTTGATTTCAGGTGGAGCTGTCTGTGTCATGGGTGCACTGTGTAGAATTTTTTTGACTAATTGTGGTGGATATGAATTTTCTATGAATAAAGATTGTAAAATATTTAAATTCTTCCTGTGAAATGATGTATCTTCTTCACAGGAAGAATTTAAATATTTTACAATCTTTATTCATAGAAAATTCATATCCACCACAATTAGTCAAAAAAATTCTACACAGTGCACCCATGACACAGACAGCTCCACCTGAAATCAACATTCAATTGCATGAGACTGTGGTTACTGATACTCCTCCAATACATACAATTTTTTCTTCACTTCCGTACATATCAGATTTAACTCCAAAACTCACAAGAATTTTTCTTCCAAATCCTAACCTAAAAATTGCCAATAAAACAGTTTTAACAATTAGATCAATTTACACCAAAGTCAAAGACAAAGTACCTCTTACTGCACAGACGAATGTGGTGTACAGCATCCCCTGTCAGGATTGTGATAAAATATACATCGGGCAATCAAAGAGATCATTAGCCAACAGAATCACATCCCACAGGAGCGACTGTAGGCTTCATCCAGAAAGATGTGCTTTGGCGGACCATGTTAATTCCTCTGATCACAAAATGGATTTTCAATCAGCAAGAATTTTAGCTACAGAAAGTAACCACAAAAAAAGAACTTTTTTGGAAATGTCTTTCATTGCCCAAGAACCAAATTGTATCAACAAAAGATCGGACATTAACCATCTTAGCGAAATTTATTCATATCTTTCATCAATTGATAACCCTAATACGGTGTTAAATAATAGCAGCTCAACATAACCAACAATAAACAACTTTTTTAATAATCTTGATGTGATGCACATATTGCCTGCAAGAATATTACCCGTTTTACTAGTAGCTCAAAAACTTTCTCCTTCCAATACTCTTGTTGACTAACACACAATAGCACTAGGTACCATAAGACCAAGGTCATCACACTTAAGCTCCATGTCACCAGTGAATTGGAAGAATAAGGTTCAGTTTTCCTAACCAAAGATTTTTATTCTGACACACGTTGTGAAAAGAAAAGTTTCATCATGATTTTAAATCAACAACGTTTTTGATATTGACCTAATATTTTAATTTTTTGAATTTGTCATGTTCCAGATATGTTATACAAACATTTTTTTATTTATACATCATTTGTTAGTAACATCAATGTAACCAACCTCAATGAGTTGTAAGTACTGCACCACTTAGTCAACTAGCTTTGCTTATAATTGTTATAACATTTTGTAGTCTGGCCCTGATGATGGAAATATAACTTTCCGAAAGCTTGGACGAACTTGCATGAGTTTCACTTTTACTTGCTGCTTCCCCACTACTAAGTTTCATCTCTAACTTGTCAGCAACGACTTCCCTTCTCTATATATATATATATATATATATATATATATATATATATATATATACCCACGGTTCACTTTGGGGAACAGTGGTATAAACATTGTATGTACCGGTATATACTCTGAGTTCCCGAAAATCACCACAAGATGCATTTTGATGGCCTCAATAGGATTTCTTATTACCTGTTCACGGATGTTAGAATGTCTCATTTCCTGGTGAAACGGGCTGGATGAATCGATGATAAAGGCCTCGAGGAGGTCTCTAGGACCTATAATATTCGAAATATTGGCAAACAAGATGAAAGAAAGACTAAGCAAATCAACTGCTGTAATCCACCAGAATACCACCAAGCTATTGAAAAAATCATTCATCCGATCGAATAGGAAAGATCTAATGAACAAAACCACATTTTCGAAATGGTTTTATGGGCGTAGGGCCGGACTTGCTCCAGTAGAATTTCTTCTTTAATACTATCTCTGGCACTTCAATATTTTAGAATGATAATGAGAAAGATCCATTAAACAAAACCACATACTCGAAATGATCATTCCGGAAGTCGTAATAAATGAGTTGTGAAATATTGCTGGACCAAAACCGGCATTGGACAACCGGAAAAATGATACCCGGATAAATCATTCTGAACACGTGGTTTTGTTTTACGTTTTTTTCTCATTGCCATAGTGAAATTTGAAAGGGACGAAAATCGAAACAAGAAAGTTGTGCAATATTTCTGGATCAAGGCCGGCCCTGGACGCCCAGAAAAATAATGTTGAACATCTCGTCCTGTTGAATATATCATTCTCATCGACATATACTATGATGTGGAAGTGGCAGATTTCGAATTAAAAAATTTGAAATTTTGCTGGAGCGAGTCCGGCCCTGGACGCACAGAAGAATCATTCTTAACATGCGGTTATGTTCATAAAATATTCTACATTGTCATGCTAGAATGTGAATGTGGCAATGATCGTAATAAAATATAGTTGTGAATTGAAACGAGTCCGACCCTGGACGCACAGAAACATCATTTTGAATATGTCGTTCCGTTTATAATATACTTCTCATCGTGATGCTCAGATATATGTAAGATACAGAGATCTTAATAATAATAGTTGTGGAATATTATTGTAGCGAGTCTGGCCCTGGACGCTCGGAAAAATCATTTCGATCATTATAAATCTGGTTTTGTTTATTCCACATTTTTCTCATCGTCATACTGAATTAAGGAAATGGCAGGAATCATGATGAAGGAGTTTGTGAAATATTTGCTGGAGCGAGTCCGACCCTGGACGCCCAGAATTATTTTGTTCATTATTATTATTCATTGTATTTTCCTCAGTGTCATACTGAAATACGGAAGTAGCAGTGATCGTGATGAAAGAAAAACTATTACCACATCCAGAGTCCACCGACCTTGGACCCGGAAAAATCATTCTCAACAGGTGGTTCTGTTTATCATATCTTGCTCATTGTTGTAATCGAATTTGAATAAAGTGACAAACTGAGATAATTGTGAAATATGCTGGACCAAGACCGGCCCTGGAATTCCCGGTAAAACAAGTTTGCTTACTATATCATCGTTATACTGAAATATGGAAGTGGCAGAGATCGTATGTAATAAAAGTTGTAACAATTTTTTGGAACGAGTCCGACCGTGGATATCGGGAAAAATCATTTCGATCAAGTGGTTTTGCTTATAGAATATCCACGATTGAAATCTAATCAGC